TGAAGAGGAACAGACGCACACAAGGATAACCATAGATGAAAAGTGCACTTACATTGCCCAGCTGTCACCTGAGAATCTAAAAGCAGTGAAAGACCCAGAATGATTAAGAAGACTGCAAACCACATCGGCAAAGTCTAGACGAACACTCTGATGCATAACCAGGATTGACAATATACATTCACCCTTCTTTCTAGATAGAGTAGATATTGGGTAGGTATGAGAACAGAAATAACTACGGGCCTGCTTCCTCTGGTCTGCTAATGTCACTGTGTAAGCAGGGCAAAGTGGCCAGAGATAGCTAATGGAGATTTCTTTCTTCACAGAGGAACTCCGCACTGGTGGGAGGCTGGTGGATGTGGCTCCAGTATAAGGAGAGGGAAGCAGTTTATTGGTGTGGGGAAGAGCCAGGATGGCAAGGAAGTGGGGGTGTGGTAGAGTAGTTAAACTGCTGCTTTCTTACACCAGGGCTGGATGACTGACGATCAAAGAGCTCCAACTGGTTCTCAGATACAATGGAAAATCAAGTATGACATGTCTCGGCAATTAGGTTTCTAGCATTTTGCAGTATGTGAGATACATCATAGTTTATCACTCTCTTTTTGTCAGAGCCCTGATGCTGTACTTAGGCTGTGGCATGACTCAGTGTGGGTGTTGGTTGGTTTGTTTTTAAATCAGTAATTAACCTGCCTTTCACTTCACTGAGAGGCAGGTCACAGGCCATGAAGGTGCTGCAATCCCATCTCATTTCATATCAGTAATTTCCTTTCCCTTGGGTTCTCCCAGGCATGATATTTTGAAGCAGCTGAAAAGAATATTTTTAAATCGGTTGGTTGTATTGAGTTGGACATGGCGTTCCTATTACAGTAAGAATATTGGCCCAGATCTTCAGCTGGTGTAAACTGGCATGGCTCCATTGGCTTCTCTTGCCCCTGACTCTCCCTCCCAGCTCCTTTACATCGCTGCAGCATCACTGGCTACACGGATACTCCCCTTACACTAGGAGAATCCCCAAGTGGCCACCCCATGGCCTGGTGCCAGATGGAGGGGATATGTCAGAGCACGTCTGGGAGAAAAGGGGCATAGCGAGAGCATCACTGTGCTCCAGTGATCCCTGAGTGCCTGAAAGGGTGGGAAGGATGTTGCAGACAGGAACAACTTAGAGCAGCTCTGAGGCCCATTTGTTTGAGTTGAGAAGGGAGGTGGCTGAGGGTGCCAGCCAAAATGAGCAGATCGTTGAAGAGGGCTGTAGGCAAAAGTTGACAGAGGCCTAATTTAACTTGCACATGTTGAGCATCACACAGTTTTAGGCTTCGAAGAGAAGGTTCAAGCACTTTTACTAGGGATATTATTGGCTCCCAGAACACTGCAAATCTAGGTCATGAGGGTCTGAAAATCCATTTCCACAAACTTGTCTCTGTTCAGTGAGTCTACCAGGCTACATATTGCTTTCAGAACCTGAATTACTGTAATCGTTATGAATTATTTTCTGGATCTTGAATCAGCAGTGCATGACTTAAAAACTAGTATCAAGAATTTCTGGATTATATTCCTCCTTCTTTAGGCAACAGACAGTAGTCATACTTCAATTCACATCTGACACATTTTGCCTTTGATACCTGTGGAAAAAGTCATGCTTTATTTATTGCCAGAAGCTCTTGCATGTTTATATGTAGCTGTCTCATCTGAGGATATTTTCACCATTGCTATGCGTTGGTTTCTAAGAATGTACCATCCTTCAAAAAGCCTAGCTTGTCAGGATTATTTGTAGCTGAAAGTAACTTTTTTTTTTTTTTAAATATCCTTTAGTCATATTAGAGTATGACCTTTACTATGCTAGTCTGAAGTGAAGTTGTATAGATATTTAATTCCTCCGAGTTAGAAAGTGATGTTTCATGCTGACCTTGGACATGCTTTCTATTTTAACGCTAAGTTGTTCTAAGTGAAAGTGACTTCTTAATTACATAATAGCAATTATATAATGCCTTTCACCTTCAGGGGGTATACAAATATTAACTAACCTAACACACTATAGCAATTCAAAGATAAAATGAGAAATGGAGTATGGCACAGAAAAAAATCTGTACAGCACAAACAAGTAAAGAAAATTATGATATATATCATATATATGATGATATTGGGTCAAACCTTCAAACTAACCTCTAAACATGGTTTGTTCTCTCCCTCCCCCTCACTCCCGCTTTGCCATTTATGCATGAAATTGTGCACAGATCTGGTAATTTCATACCTATTTATGCACTGTACATGTGCACTGAGAATCACATTTTCTGGGGGCAGGAGAGGAATTAAGAACCAAACTGCATGCAAGACCAAAATAGCCATGTGCATACAAAGCTTAACTGAAGTCTTTAGGGGCCCTGCTGTCCTTTCAAATGCACTACCATATATACAACTGAGACATTTGATGTTAATTTTTGTAACTCTCTTTTTGTACCAGGATTAGTAGTAAAATATTGGAATTTTGCCCATGCACTGAATCTTTTAAATTTGTGGCTGGACATTTCATTTCCTCCTGGAATAAAATACATGTTTACTAATATAACTGAGATCCTTGGCGTTACTTTCAAAATATGTGGCAGGATGACAGGACTGGGCCAAAAAGAGTTCATTTAAATCAGTGTACAGTCCTGAATGACCTTGTTTTACTTTGATTATTGGATAACTTCCTGAAAACTGGGTTGCTATATCACCTAATTCAAAAGGAACTTCGTCCCTCAAAAAGTAATAGCAAAAAATGTTTTAAGTACATTAGAAGCAAGAAGACTGCTAAACAACCAGTGGGGCCACTGAATGATCAAGATGCTAAAGGACCACTCAAGGATGATAAGGCTGTTCCAGAGAAACTAAATGAATTCTTTGTATCGGTCTTCACGGCTGAGGATGTGAGGGAGATTCCCAAACCTGAGCCATTCTTTTTAGGTGACAAATCTGAGGAACTGTCCCAAATTGAGTATCATTAGAGGAGGTTTTGGAACAAATTGATAAACTAAACAGTAATAAGTCACCAGGATGAGATGGCATTTACCCAAGAGTTCTGAAGGAACTCAAATGTGAAATGGCAGAACTACTAACTGTCATCTGTAACCTATCATTTAAATCAGCTTCTGTACCAAATGACTGGAAGATAGCTAATGTGACACCGATTTTTAAAAAGGGCTCCAGAGGTGATCCTGGCAATTACAGGCCAGTAAACCTGACTTCAGTACCGGGAAAACTGGTTGAAACTATAGTAAAGAACAAACTTGTCAGACACCTAGATGAACATAATTTGTTGAGGAAAAGTCAACATATTTTTTGTAAAGGGAAATCATGCCTCACAAGTCTCCTAGAATTCTTTGAGGGGGGTCAACAAGCATGTGGACAAGGAGGATCCAGTGAATATACAGTATTTAGATTTTCAGAAAGCCTTTGACAAGGTCCCTCACCAAAGATTCTTAAGCAAAGTAAGCTGTTGTGGGATAAGAGGGAAGGTCCTCTCATGGATTGGTAACTGGTTAAAAGATAGGACACAAAGGGTAGGAATAAATAGTCAGTTTTCAGAATGAAGGGAGGTAAATAGTGGTATCCCCCAGGGGTCTGTACTGGGACCAGTCCTATTCAACATATTCATAAATGATCTGGAAAAAAGGGTTAAACAGTGAGGTGGCAACATTTGCAGATGATAAAAAAATTACTCCAGATAGTTAAGTCCCAGGCAGACTGCGAAAAGCTACAAAAGGATCTCTGGGCAACAAAATGGCAGATGAAATTCAATGTTGATAAATGCACAGTAATGCACATGGCAAAATGTAATCCTCTCTCTCTCTATATATATATATATATTAAAAATAATAAAATGATGGGGTCTAAATTAGCTGTTACCACTCAAGAAAGAGATCTTGGAGTCATTGGGGATAATTCTCTGAAACCATCCATTCAATGTGCAGCGACAGTCAAAAAAACTAACAATATTGGGAATCATTAAGAAGGGGATAGATAAGATAGAAAATATCATATTGCCTCTATATAAATCCATGGTACCCCCACATCTTGAATACTGCATCCAGATATGGTTGCCCCATCTCAAAAAAGATATATGGGAATTGGAAAAGGTACAGAAAAAGGGCAACAAAAATGATTAGGGGTATGGAACGGCTTCCGTATGAGGAGAAGTTAATAAGACTGGGACTTTTCAACTTGGAAAAGACATGAGTAAGGGGGGATACGATTGAAGTCTATAAAATCATGACTGATGTGGAGAAAGTAAATAAGGAAGTGTTAATTACTCCTCCTCATAATACAAGAACTAGGGGTCACCAAATGAAATTAATAGGCAGCAGGTTTAAAACAAACAAATTGACTGCATTTTGTGAAGAAATACTTCCATCTGTGGAACTCCTTACCAGACAATGTTATGAAGGCCATGACTATAACAGGGATCAAAAAAGAACTAGATACGTTCATGGAGGATAGGTCCATCAATGGCTATTAGCGAGGATGGACAGGGATGGTGTTCTTAGCCTCTGATTGCCAGAATGGGTGACGGGATGGATCACTTGATTACCTGTTCTGTTCATTCCCTCTGGGGCACCTGGTATTGGCCACTGTGGGAAGACAGGACACTTGGCTAGATGGACCTTTGGTCTGAGGCAGTATGGCCATTCTCATGTTCTTAAAATAAATTCAGAAATTCTTTAATGTATGACTTAGGTGTGCAAAATGTTTCCTTTTTTAAAAGCCCTTATTCTTAAACTTGATAATGCACGAGGCTGAGATGACGTACAGCCAAGCATCTCCAATGCAAATCATACAAGGCTTTCAACATAAAAATTAGACATGATCCAGACTAATTTTACTCCAAATATATTTTGCTGAACCTTTTCAGATGCTGAATTCAGGGGATTAGAGAATGGGAACTATATATCTCCCTTATAAAACAGAAAAATAAATGGAGTGTGTGAAGGGGAGGAAGGGACAGAGGTTTATATGTAGGAAACAAATACCTTAGAGAAGAACATGCAGTTTTTTTCTCCACCTCACATTGCTCTAAGTGCTGATACGGCATAGGAGATAGCTTCTGTTTAGGTTTGCTTGGCAGAGGGACGTTGGGACCAATGGGTGGTAAGTAGACCTGGGATAGTACACTGGCAACTCTCCAGCCCACATACTGGCAGGAGGTTAAGGTCCTGGGAGATGATGGAGCATTTGCACTTGAACTAATAAAAGGATTTGCTGGACCATTTGCCTCAGCCTGTTGAATGAGAAGAAAAACAAAATTAAACCTACCACAATAAACTACTAGAAACAAAGTAATGGCAAAAATGATCTGGGATATAATCTATCTACAGAGAGAATTATAAATAAGGCATGTAGTGTTTTTCTGTTTTCCATGGCTCACTTTGATTCAGTGCTTCTCCTTTGAGTCAGTATATGGGTGAGGTAAGGGAAATAAAAGGTATACTATAGATTATTTGCTTACATTTATAGAACAAAATGATGAAAATAAGAATATTTGCATTTTTTTCCTCTTTGGAAATATTAATAGGCACTTCTCAGTTTTAATAAGCTAATACTTTTTATACCAGTTTAAATCTCACCTTTCTATATCTTTTACAGAGCCTTGTGAAGGCATTTTCAATAACTCTCCAATCTTACAAACAGGCATTCTGTAAACTTTTAGGGACATGGTTTGAAGTATGGCCTCAAACTGCATGTACAGTTTTGCATGCCCACCCCTGAGAGCATGAAAACAGGCAGTTTTGTGCACACAAAGTAAAACAGAATTTGAGTGCATGACATACACATGTAAAATGTTCATTTCCAACTATTGCTAATTTAGTTTTATATATGCAGATAGAGACACATGAAAAATATGTGTGCTCAATTTCAGAAACTTTGAACTTTGTCCCTCCCATTTAAATGGGACATTGTGTGGCAATATACTACTGTGCTGATATATATCACTGTTTTGATTGAATGTCTGAAACTATCCCTCAATCCAGAAGGATATTAGCTATACAAGAGGTAAATTAGAAACTCTGAACAGAAACAGGGTGGGTAAGGTAATATCTTTTATTGGCCCAGCTTGTTTCTCTTGCCAACAGAAGTTGGTCCAATAAAAGATATTACCTCACTCTCCTTGTCTCCCTAATGTTCTGGGACTGATGTAGCTACAAAAATACTGCATACAAATTTGACACAGTTTTTGGGAGGGGAATGACAATTTTTTTTCTTCTTAGTTTTTTATATTTTAATAGTAAAAACCAAAACCCACTAGTATCATGTTTCTGTTCCTTTTATCTTGTTTTGGTGAGGTCCTTGACTGTTTTAATTACTTTTCTTCTCTGAGGATGTTTTAACTTAGAGATGCCCATAAGGCATATTTTTCTTCGTCAGAATCTTATGGTTATAACCATTGAAGCTGTTAGCTTCAAAATGTCACACAATGTTATAATCAGTCACTTTTTTATGTTCATAATATAATTGCTCGTTCTTGAAAGTAAATAGGATGTTGCATCCTGTCTATTCTGTTTTAAAATACCAATGACAAACTATTTACTGAATGTTATGTGCAGCCCTTTACCAGTCAGACTTCATTTTATATGCCTCTCAAGCCTTTTAATGGTAAACAGATTGACATTGATACAAAAAAAGCTTTCTTCATTCCATCATACTTCTTAGCATTACTGAAGTCTGATTTTTGGGTAACATTTATTAATGTCATTATGTAGGTACATTTAAACAATTAAGAGTTAGTAACTGTACAACTTATTACTTCATTTTACTTCAGTTCCTAAACCTTTTAACTTTTTTATAGCAGCTTCTGCTAGTGCCACAGCCATAACTATGTAGTGACAGCATTTCCATTATAAATCCTGGTTTTGTTTTTATTTTCCCCAAGCATTTATAACTGCGTTGTAAATATTCATTCTATGCACAGACTCAGCATACAATTTCCCATCAAATTTGTCTGTGTACAAATGTAATTAAAATTGTTTTGGCTGTTCTTTAACACAGAAATGGGAAAAATACTATAGCACTTCATTTTTTTGACACTTTATGAACCCTTGTCTCCCCTCAGTAGAAGAACTGTGAACATGGAACAACTACACAGGAGCTTGCTTTCCCCAGTGAATAGAGAATGTTTCACTGTCAGTCACACCTTTTATTTCTTTTGGGTATATGGAAAAAATTAAGGAAGTCTCTGGATTCAACCCTGTGGCAAACAGAGCCACTGTAGATTTTCCCCCATGTTCACAGAGGAACTAATATGCAACCTCTTGCTTTAGGGTCAACATATTACATTAATCTCTCCGCCAGTGACTCACCCTTTCCCTGAAGGTGATTTCTACATGACAAGATAAGTGGTAATCTGCTGTTTTTAAAACCAAAACAAATATTTTTGTTCACATTGGTAGTTTTTCCAAGTCCTTCATGGAGCCCTTACCAAACTCTGTCTCCCTTCTGAAAGGCCCAATATAGTTACAACAACCCTCTTCTGGCATGGGAAACCTAGACTTAACTCACCTTAGAACCCATCAATGCTGGACTTTGTAATGACCAAAGGGAGTTGCTGGAGAGCGATGTAAGCTAGTGAGGAGGGAACCCACAAATGCCCTGCCCAAAGTTGCACCCAGTAGCTATTAGGCACAGCTAAAGCTGGAGGCCTCTGACTTTAGGAGGAAATTTTAAATGACTGACATCTGTTTCAGTAAACAGCAATTTCTATCCTTGAACTACAGCACAAAACGTGGGTGTAAATCAATGAATCCATGAGGCTGGCTCTCTGTCTGGAAAGTTATTTATCTTTTGTTCTTTCTGTACCCATTACTATAATATAATTCAGTAGCATAAAATATATAAAAGACCAACTCTTATAAAAGAGAACTACACAAAATATTAATGGGTCATAAATGGCAAGAATGAAGTCAGTTGTATATATGAAGAGTCAGAGAGAAAGTGGAGGAAAAAACCTTTCAATATTTCAGTTTTTCTAGCAGATGGTAGAAAGTACTTAGAAATGATGACTCTTCCTAGATGTTCCAGCATATGCTGTGGAATTGCCCGTACAGTAAAGCCTTGCTCATTGCAAATCTCCCAGGAACTATCACAATCAAAATACATCAATTAACATTTGCTTATTATGCTAGTGTATGTATGTGGCAATTTTCTATTTTCCTCTCAGACATTAGGGTCACAATTTAATCTGGATTATTGATTTGCCAGATGAAGGTCTCAGTGTTTCTGCTTCTCTGTAAATATCTGCATTTATTGTTTTTGGACTGTGAGTAACAATGCACATGTTTGTCTTGTTAGCAAACGCATGTCCATAGCATGATACCAATTTCACTGGCATGAAACTGGGATCTTATGAGAGATTGGAGGCATCTGGTGTGACAGGAGCCTGGGGTGCAGCCTGGAACTGTGGGACAGCTGTGCCCTTAACTCTCCAGCCTGGGCTGTCTCTCACAAAGCTTCCAGGTGCTATCACTCAGCACAACTGCATGTGAAGCCCCACACCCAGCTAGATTGCATGAATGCTCCCAGAGCCACTCATGAATCACACAGAGAAAGGCACCAGCCAAATCCCCCCACCTCCCAGCACTGTACCTCAGGAATATACTGTCTTGCACTGCTCAAGACTAGCAGTGCAAATTTAATTGGTTCACCATTTCATCAATGGAAAGTGGACGTAGGACTAGCCTTTATAAACCTGAGCAGATTTACCAGGCACTTCAGCCAAACTCACTGGTAAAGATAAACAGTAAAACAAGTTTACTGATTACAAAAGATAGATTTTAAGCGATTATAAGTGATAGTCAAAAAGTCAGAGTGGTTACCAAAAGAAAAGAAAATTATAAGCACACAGTCTAGATTCTCAACCCTATTAGACTGGGCAACTTCTAGATCAGAGGTGGGCAAACTACGGCCCGCAGCCCACCTCCAGCCTGCAGGAACCTCCTGCCCAGCCCCTGAGCTCCTGCCCCAGGAGGCTGGCCCCCAGCCCCTCCCCTGCTGTTCCCCCTCCCCCGCAGCCTCAGCTCGCTCCGCCGCTGGTGCAATGCTCTGGGCGGTGGAGCTGTGAGCTCCTGGGGCAGCGCAGCTGCAGAGCCCAGCCTGATCCGGTGCTCTGTGCTGTGCGGTGGTGTAACTGGCTCCAGCTGGGCGGCGCGGCTATAGCGCCGCCAGCCACCGGTGCTCCAGGTAGGGGGGGCAGGGAATTTTGGGGTGGTGGTCGGGGGCAGGCGTGTGGATAGGGGTTGGGGCGGTCAGAGGACAGGGAACAGGGGAGTTGAATGAGGGCAGGGATCCCGGGGGGGCAGTCAGGAAGGAGAGGTGGGGTTGGATGGGGTGGCAGAGGGAAGTCAGGGGCAGGGGTTCTGGGGGCGGTCAGGGGACAGGGAATGGAGGGTTGGATGGGGCAGGAATCCCGGGGGCACCGTTGGGGAGGGAGAAACTGGGGGGGGTCAGATAGGGGGTGGGTCCAGGCCACACCTGGCTGTTTGGGGAGGCGCAGCCTCCGCTAACCGGCCCTCCATACAATTTTGGAAACCCAGTGCGGTCCTCAGGCCAAAAAGTTTGCCCGCTCCTGTTCTAGATTAAGCAGTTTTCTCACCCCACTGGATATTGCAGTTCATAGTACACAGGTGTGACACTACACCCCATAGTAGGAAGAGAGCCTGAGACATAAACCCTTGTATTAGAGGCCTGGTATGAGGCAGGACGTGCTCACAGAATTTGGCAAGAACAGGACTGATATTGCAGAAATACACATTCCTAAGAAGTGCTAGTCAGAGTGCTCACGCAAACACACCCTGATATCAAGTGGTACCAGAACATCCCAATATCAAGGATGGTACAACATTTCCCAAGGATAACTGGAACACACTGACCCCCTCCTAAAAGATACGCTCAGGATGACAGTATGTAACAGAGCTGTTTTGATTGAACCAACATGTACAAGATGATGGGTGATAACTAGCGATGTCAGGGGTAGCACTAATTTGTTTGTATCGGGGTATAAAGATGTATCTCAGAGGGAGTATCTTTGGCCAGCCTAGGGAGCGGTGGAAAGTCCCACCACAGACTGAGCTGCATCCATTGTCACAAGCATACATGTCTTAGTATCCTCGTAGAGTCTGCCAGGTGCTATTACCATGCTTCATCGACAATAAACCAGGCCACGTGTCTTCACTGAAAACCGAGTCTGTGGATTTATTGGGCAGTTTAATTGAGGTCTGCTATCTCCGC